CAGCCCCCATGGGGCATTCCAAGACCTCAATGGAGGAGGGCCCCCCATCTTTCCACCGAGACGCAGAGGATGTTTCGCATGCCCCCCCCCCCTCCTATCACAGCTACTCTACCAGCCTGAATGTGAGCCGGCCACAGCTCGACAGTAGACGGCTTACTAAGGTCCCCAACATCAGAATCTAATAACATGTCTATAGACAGGACACGCACCTCAACATCAGGCAACACAAGCTCCAACGCCGTTTCAACAGCACATTGCATGTCACCCAACCGGCGCTGGCCACAAAACAAATTAGCAATGCAGACAGTTCGGCGATGCAGTCTGCGAGGTACTTTAGAAGCCAGCCTACCTGTGTACCCACTCCTATCATATGGCCAATCTAAGAAGCGCGCCGTCCAAAGAGCCTGGGGCAGGGGGGTCAGCTGCCTTCATCTGATCCATCACCTTCCTGGACCATCCTGTAATGTCCAGAAGGACATTCTGGGGAAGAAAAACTGCTGGGCCTGCGCACGAGAACACATTGCATTAAAACCTCTAGCCGCTGGATGGATAGGGCCTGAGGCTGTGAAAGACGGAATAGATGCATGAGACGATGAGTACCCACGCTTGAAGGCAAGCTTGCTTTCTTGCTTCTCCTTATCTGCTAACTCCTTCATCACTTCTTGAGTGTGAGGAGGCACCTGTGGCACATGAAAGGCCACGACAATCGGACGCCAGGTCGCGACATGTCGGGCCAGCAGCGCTCTCGATTCAAAAACTCTGAAAACAAGCAAAGCATTTATTCTCAGAAACGTGCCTCCGAGCAATGCCTGACCGAGTAGCGTGGCGAGCCCGAACGTGGGCGTCGAGAGAGGGTATCTTCTCGGCGCAGAAATCGCAAACATGACACTTAAAACACTTACGCGCGACAGGCTGTGGCACGTCTCTAGCAGAAGGGAGGCCTTCACTCTTCAACATGTTCAGGAGACGCCTCTCCTAGCGAGATGCCTCAACTTCACGTCTCGCCTTAGCCGCGACAGCCTTAGTTACTTCCTGAATCGCACGTCACCTAGATCCCCATGGAAGTTCTTACTTTTTAAACCCACGCACCAGTGTCAGAGGATGGTAAGGGCATTTCCTGGAAAGCGTGATGTGACGACCTCAGCCAGGAAAACCTTCCAGGATCTGATGCAACCATGAACTTTGTTTAGCCCTTGTGTCAGCCTGCACGTAGTCAGCATGTAGTAGAGCCAGGAGAGGGATCGGTGCCGCTGCCAAGACCTGCCCGAATAATCGTAGCCGAGCAGCCCGTAACACCACAGACACCACAGGCCTTCGCGCAGCAGACATGACGTCTTCATCGGTAGGGCCACCAGCCTTAAAACAAGGCAATCTCAATTCACGCCTATATCTTCGTACGTATTGGGACCGAACTCTATTCATGTCGCTGCCAAACATAGTATACCATGTACCTGCCCCATACAAAGCAGAGTTCATGACAAGTGAATCAGTAAAGATCAACTTAGGTACGATAGATGCCTTGGTGGCCCACTTGAAGGCCTTGCCAAGCACGGACAGCTGCGCGCGTGATGCAGCTTCTCGACGTACCAGTGCAGGCCCCAATAAGGCACGGTCAGTAATAACAGAACCTGGACGCACTGCTGCGCGCACAGCATCGATGCCTTCACCGACGAACATGGACCTCACAAGGAACACCTCCCCCAAGGAGTGGAAACACATGCCGTCGGAATTTGGCTGACCCAGGGCCAGTCAAGTGCAACATCAACTCTGTTTCACCAATCTTCAGGTGAAGCACCAAGCCAACACGCGCATGCGAGTGAACGGCAATTCTGCAGAAATCCCCCAGACTGTCCTCAATAACAGACAGAGGCGCAAGCAATGCATGCAGCGAGTCATCTGCATACACCATACCTGGAAACATGGCCTCTGCACCTGCCGCTGGACTGTCCTCACACATATTAGCAGATGGCACAGCCAAAAAAAATGTTAGCCCAATCTCCTTGATCCCGCTAGCAATATTGTTGGTGACTTCTGCGATGATGAACAGAAATAGTGCGTCACCAAATGGGGTCCTTGGCCTGGTTCCTGTAAACGTTACTGCGATACGAGTAGCTCCTGGAAGTTGAAACCACCCACACCGATAAGCCTCCTCCACCATCGCCTTATAATGATCCTCCACATCCTGGGCGTGTAAAGATGGCAGCTCTTGCAAGATCTGCGCCAGGGGCGGGAGGCGTGATGCTGGAAGGCCGGCTTGTTCCAATAACGATGTGAGGGGCTCTGGGGAGACATCTGTCTTGATGACCAACTCGCTGATAGCCATGTAGTACGCACTCATGACATCCACAAAAAGAAAGCAGAGACAGAGGCCAGCAGATTGCGCATATCTTTGCAGTAGACGTGCGTGTAGTCAAAAGCGCAAGTTGCGTGCATTTCCTGCGCAGCAAAATGTTCCAGCCATAGTTCGTTAGCCTCCTGAACAGATGCTACAAGGTGTCCATCGGGCCCCTGGACTGCTGGAATTACCTTAGCTTGACGATACTTTTTGCCTGCAGCCCCTAGACGCCGCAAAGCTGCGAATACGTCTCCAAACTCCGCGCAGACAAGATCCCCAATGGACTGTGCAACTTCATTGAGCTTCTCATCCACCTCGGCCCTGGACCTTGGATGCGCAGCCCGGTTTAAAGGACCCAGCAATGAATACTGAAATGCTTGAACCCTTAGATGCAGCATTCGGCACAATAGCGCCAGCCCAGAACACGACCTCGGGCCTGCAAGGCCTCTCACCGTAGCTCAAATATCCCCAAGAAGCGAATGCCAGCGATACCTCAATACAGGTTTCCCAAGCATAAGACGCTCCCATTTGCCATCCAACGCAAATTAGACACCCAACAATGGCAAACTATCGCGAGCCTGCTGTCCAACCCGACCTGTAGCAGCCAGCAGCGCCAAATGCTGCTCGGGTAGCTCGTCTTCTTCAAAACTGCATGGCCCGTGCGTCTTGACAGTATGCCAAGCCTTGAACACCACACCAATCCAGAGCCTCGCAACAGAGAAGCGGATCTGTCGCAAGGCACGGCGGTGGGTGCGCACAGCTAACACTGACTCCTTGACACACTTCGACGATTCAGTCTTGTGAGCATCCTGGTTGAAAAAAACACTGCTCCATACCTTCTCTGACAAATGCAGAGACCAATGAACAATGCTCAGCAGTAGGTGGTACATAACACGGCGGTGTCGGGCAGGCCATCATATACTGATAAAAACTCGCAATGCGGCCAGGATCCCGTAGGTACTTAGGGTCCAGAGCAGGTGTCTTAGTGATTAATGCTTTCAATGATCGTATCTGAAGAACTGGTAGTCGAATCATTAACTGGACCAGGATATGATCTGGCTTTGAAACAGACAACTCAATATCGTGATTGACTCTAGGCCCAGATACATGCGGTAAACAACAAATCGGTACAGCCACGTAATCAATGCGCCTAGTTGGGAACAGCGCTCCAGGAGGCACCCACGTCTTATTATCAAACGCCGGCCCCAGGAACGTACACGGTACACAGAGCTTGCGATCCCGAAGAAACTTGTGGAGACACGACCCACACACATTCTCAAACTCAGCTCCCACAGATCCAACAGAAGTAGGGACCGTCGTTCCCAATGTGGCGTTGGCATCCAGAAGCAAAAATAAATAGTCTGCCTTCTCAGCAGCTCGGCGGACAGAACACGTAGCTGACTTCCACCAAGCTTGAATATCAGACAACGAGTGCCCAAAGTGGGGAGCATGCGCAACGCAAAAAGTGACGCTGAGCGATGCAACGGCCAAGTTCACAATGAGCAACGTTGGTACCGCCTCGACAACAGTAAGTCTCTGCCTAGAGATAGCCGTGTCAGGCCTTCCTGGAACTAACTGGAACCCACGACATAGCCAGAGAGCACACCCATGTGACCCTGAATCATGTCGAGGTCCACGTAATACAAGATAGGAGTCTATGTTGGCCCACCCTGGAGAAGGCATCCTGGTCTCGGCTGTTCCCACAACACCAAGCCCTTGGAGTTTGAACTGCTCCGCGAGCAACCTTGGACGTCCTGAAACAAAAGCTCCCACCAACCGTTTTCCCTTTGATGTATTCTGCAGGGTACGGACATTGGCGAAAACCATACATATTTGCAGGCAGGGAGTGCTCTACAAGTCCTGGCAGTGCTCGTGCTGCGGAAAAAAGATCAGGTACGTTGCCAACATGCGCAGCAAGGGGCGGGCACGCAGAGGTCCCAGCAGGATCCCAAATCATGAGACTCCCATTCCTCAAGGCAGGATATTGAGCTCGTAAATCACCCTGTAGCAGCTCTAGCCATGCCCATTTAGACGAAAGAGGGTCTTGAAGTATGAGGCTCCAGGGGCACTCCTCAGGGCCTTTAATGATAGCAAGTCCAGCAAGCGCAGCTAGGGTATCAACATACAGAGGAGGAGGATGAGGAGGATGAGGAGGATGAGGATGAGGATGAGGATGATGATGATGAGGAGGAGGAGGAGGAGGAGGAGGAGGAGGAGGAGGAGGAGCGCGCCAAGGAGGAGGAGGGAGGAGAGGGAGGAGGAGGAGGAGGAGGACGAGGAGGAGGAGGAGGAGGAGGGGAAGGGGGAGGTGAAGGGACTATCACAGCTCAAGGAAGAAGGCAAGGGGTTGGTCGACCCCACCCAGACCGATACGTTAGGCTCCGATGGCCACAATATCGTCTTCGTCACTCTCTGGCCCGTGCTGGGCCTTCTCCGCAATGAGTCTTCCACTGAGGACTCGGGAGTCGGGGATAGGACGGCTGAGTCGGAGCGCGGACTTCTTGGAGTCCTTGCGGCGGCGCCCATGCAGTAGGAGCAACTACGCTCCCTTTGAGGAGGAGGAGGAGGAGGAGGAGGAGGAGGAGGAGGAAGAGGAGGAGGAGGAGGAGGAGGAGGAGGGAGGAGGCGGGGCCGGAGGAAGAAGATGCGGAGGCGAGGCAAGGTCCTTGCTGGTAAGGTCCTTCGGCCCTCCGTGCCCCTGGCGGGCAGGCCGAGCCCTCTCCATGAGCTCCTTGCAGCGGTGGACAGTCCCGGGGCGGGCAGGTCGGGGGGTGATGCACGAAATTCATCCAGGGTCCTCGCTCCTGAGGAAGAGGAAGTGGTACAGTACAGGGAGAAAAAGGAGGAGGTAGAGGAGGAGGTCAGGATGAATGAGAATCTTTGCGAGGAGGAGGGTGAGGAGCACCCTCCTCCATGTTCTCCTCCTCTTCCTCCTCCTCCTCGTCCTTCTCATCCTCCTCTTTTTCCTCCTCCTCATCCTTCTCATCCTCCTCCCCCTCCCCTGGAGAGCGTCAACAAAAAGGGGGACTCTGGCAACGGATCCTGCCCCCCCCATCCAATTTGTGGGAGCTCATCGGAGGGGGCTGGGCCAACCACTGTGCATCGACCCTCCCGTGGAACCCTGCGCCCCTCCCACCCGCCCAACACAGATCCAGGAGAGGGGGAGGGAGGGACCCAAACCTCCGATGCCGTCGCCTGATTCTCTGGGTCCAAGCAGATAGGGCCGGAGACTCGCGCCGCATCGTCGGTGCATCGCCGACGTCGGCGTGGCGTGGTCGGGCTCCACGTCGAGCCGCATCGGCGATGCATCGGCGATGCGGTACGATCCTCCGTCCGACCCCATCTACTCGGACCCCATCTGGGAGGCCTTGTTGAGGTCAGGCACGTTTGCTCAGCGTGTCGCGGCGGCGGTCCTGGCGGTACGCTGTGCCTTGCGAGCGGATCGCGTGTCGCTCCGCTCCGCGGGGCAGGAGGCTGGGAAAGGCTCGGATCGAAGCCCCTGGGGGACCCAGAAGCGGATAGCGCGTCGCGCCGAGGCGCGGTGGGCCAGAACCGGCGGAGCGACACGCTATCCAAAAGCTCCCGATCCCGATTTCGTTCTCGCAGTCCGGACGCCTGCAGCGCACGACACTGGAGCCCCCACAGCGCAAGAGGCGGCCTCCGCTTCCATCCCCCTCTCGGGCCCTCCTCCTCCTCCTCCTCCTCCTTCTCCTCCTCCTCCGCCTCCTCCTTTTCCTCCTCCTCCTCCTCCTCCTCCTCCTCCTCCTCCTCCTCAACTCCTCCCCTGGCGCTGCTCAGTCCAGCTTGCGCCACCCCCGGCTGAGGCGGGTAAGGCCTCGCCAGGAGCATCGGATGGTCTGCCCTCCGTCCCCGGGGGAGGGACCAAGAGACCAAGAGCATGGGACGAAGAGCAAAAAACATCTTCGCATCATTGGTCATGCATTCCTTCGCTTCGCTTACCTGCTACTCTTCGAGATGGGGGGGGGAGCGGGCGGGCCCCGGACGCGCCAGCACTTCGGCGGGCCTCGCCCAGGGGGCGGCCGGTCAGCTCCTCCTGGGCAGTCCGCGCCTGGGCTGCGTCCTGGCCGGCGGCGATCGCGCTCATCGCCCCGCGGCGGGCTCGGACAGTATCCAGGCGGGGGCCGACTTCGCAGAGAGCACCTGCACACCACCACCATGCCTGGCCAGCGGCATGGTGAGCACGCCCTCTTGGTCGAGGCCATGGGGTAGTCTATACCTTCTGTACGGAATCACAAGGGCCAGGAGCAGGGGTGTTCTATGTTGACTGTGCGGCTTGAGTGATTACTTGTTCACAGCTCTATCTCGGTCTCTCGATATGTCCATAGTCTGTGGTTTGCTATTTCTGATTTTAACGCATATAATTTGTGCAATATATACACATGAAGATGCTGGGGCAGGGTCCTGATATCAGCGCTTGCATGGCAAAATATGCAGCGAACAACCTTTTCTTTCATCGACGCCATCCAAGCAACACCGGACATCAAGGTCAAAAAGACCACTACCAGCCCGAGAATGACCCTGGTGAGGTATGGCGGTGGTGGCAAATCCGTTCTGCGAGCCGAAAGGGGGAGAGCTTTCGGAGGGGAGGCATCGGTCTGGAATTGCCGAGGCATCGCCAATGGGCCGGCGTGAGGCTCCCGATGACGAAGCTGCAAACTACGGAGCAGGGTGCGGCACCCGAGCCCCGATCGGCGATGAATGGGCCGCGAGGGATGGCGCTCGCGCTCGCCGCCCCCGCCTGCGCCTCGGGTGGGAGACCATCGGAGGGGCCCGAATCGCCCGCGGGCCCAGGCGCGGGGAGGGCCGAAACTGCGAGACGCCCGCGCATCCAGAGTCCAGAGAGGTGCAACGGGGCACTTCAGAGACAGGCGCGGTGTGAGGGGCCGATGTTACCACCCCTGAGCTGATTACCCCGTTGGGCGCCGCTGAAGGAAGGACAAGGAGGCTTGACCAATGATTGCTCACACCTCCAGGCGGTCATGCTCCTGTTCGTCTCATCTTGGCGCCCGGTGCCGCTCCCGGGCCCTGAAACCAACAACATGACAATCCGCGACGAAACACCAACTCAGGGGATAGGGGTCGACAACTCCTCCGGGGCCACACCGCAACAGAAACAACGGCGACGGAGGCCTGAGCGCCAGGGCCCGTTCCGGGTCCCGATCCCCTGTGGCTGCGACAAGTGGCCCCCCAGCAAGGCCGGGAGCCAGCGGAGGCTTGGACGCGTAAGTGCTTGTCATGCCCCAGGCCTGCGACAAGCTTTTGTCGCGACCTGGCCCCTGGACCTGACACGTCGAGGTCGTCGTCGTCGTCGTCGTCTTCGTCTTCTTCGTCGTCGTCTTCGTCGATGTCGCCCCCATACCCCAAGGCGGGTTTGTTGGATTCTGGGGCAGCTGTCGACTGGGCCCGAGACCAGCCTCCAGTGCTTTTCAAGCTTTGAAGGACTGGCCGTCATCTGCAGGAGCGCGTATTCCCTCAGATTCCGGCAGGCTCACTTGCATGGCGCTTCGGCCCTCCTAAGACAGAGCCGAGACGAGGACAAGTTCGGATGAAGGTAAATCGAGAATCTCTGAGATTCAGCCGCCGTGGAGGATGTCTCGGTCGCCGCGGCCTTCTCAGAGCGTTCTGGAACGCTCTGAGAGCGTTCCGGAACGCTCTGGAACAGATTGATCCTCGTCCTAGCCCCGTCCGACACCCCCCCTCCCCCCCTTCCTGCCCCCCTTCGCCTCCTTTCCAGACAGCGCTGGGGTGAAAATGCGTGCAGGCGTGAAGCGCAAAACTCCGTTCGGGCCTCGCCACGCCCTCCCCTTCCCCCTCCGTGCAAGTAAACCTGCCAGGCAAGAAAGAAAGTCCAGTCGGGCGACTCGAAGAGCCACTCGCCCCATTAATGATTCATGGGATTAATGAGGGCGGGAACAAAGACAGCATATTCACCAATGAAGGCGACTGCCTGTGCAACCTGCGCACAACACCCTCTCAGACACAACAATCAGAAGATGCCTGCCAAGGTCCACGGAAAAATAACCCTCAGAGTGTGTTCTCCCGTGCCGGGCCCGAGATCTCGGAGCCGGCAGGTCTCCCCCCCCCCGCGAGAGGTGGGCGGGCGCTGCGGCGGCAGACGCACGTGGCTCAAGGCAGGGGGATGGGGAGGGGCGCGCGCACGGCACGAGCGCCGACCAGGCGCAGCCTGAGCCTGAGCAGCAGCAGGAGGGTCAGGATGGGAAGCAGAAGGAGGATGAGGAGGAGGAGGAGGAGGAGGACGGGCGAGGGGAAGGAGGAGGAGGAGGAGGAGGAGGAGGACGGGCGAGGAGGGAAAGGAGGAGAAGGACAAGTAGCATGAGGGGGGGAAGCGTGCACACCAAGACGAAGGAGGAGATCACCCCGCAGGGCGTGGGGAGAGGCACGCCTGCACATCACAGGAGTGAGCATCAGCGGCATGGCGGGGGCGGAGAGGAGGGTTAGGAGCATCAGGAGGAAAATGCGGATGGTCAAGAGTACTAAGGAGAACCCAAACATCCGACGTCACGATTTGGTAGTCGTCCAGCGAGATTATGTTGTGCCGCTAATGTTGTTCGACCTCTGTTAAAACTCAGTTCTACAGCGATAGCTGTTCGGACACCAAGGCCAACAGCTGGGGCTCCAGACGTCAATTGTGTCCACCGGCATACAAATGTGTGTCCGATTGTACCTTGGGCTGCCTGCCCAGAACGCGACATCCGACGTCGTGGGAATCACGACCAGGGCTCCCGACTCCATCCTTGTGCGGGAGCCCTCGAGCAGGATCGACCCGTGGGGGGGGACCTGGGGCCCACAGCACGGCCAACCTCTTGCACGGTGGAAGCGCCTACTGGCCCCCACGGGGCCTCCCCCCGCGGCCCACGGAGGGCCCCCCCCCAGAGCCCGAAGACGGCGCAGGTCCTCCGGGAACCCTTGCCCTCGTGACGCTGGCATGCAGGTTGCCCCTGGCCCACGGCCCCGGGGTCTGAGGCTTCCGCGCGCGCGGCCTGCAGGCTCACCCCCGGGGCGGGGGGCCGAGGATCTCCGCGCGCCGTCAGGGGCGGGACCGCGGGCGTTCTCGCTCGTAGAGGCGCTTGCGCAACTTCACCTGCGGGGCGACGCTCGCGGCTCCGGCCCCCCCCCTCCCCCCCCCCTGGTTTCCCGGGAGGCCGACCAGCGGGAGGACGAGGACAGGAGGCAACTCCAGGGATGTCTTCGTCAGAACAATCCAGGTCAGGCAAATCCCGATTAAGGAGCCATGGAGCCGGACTGGGCCAGACTGCAGCTGAACCTGGGAGAAAGCTTGATTGAACGGGATTAGGCCGGATGAAGCTGGACGAAACCCGATTGAACGGGATTCAACGAGACTCGGCCATTCTTCGACCAGGGAAATAACAGCGCCGATTCTGAAGTTAACCTCCCGGAGCTGCATCCTTCAGGGGGGGACGGTGGTGGACAGATGGCAGGAAAGGGGGGGAGAGACCCTGGGTGAGCGGCTGCACCAATTTCCTGTCGTGACGACGTCGGCTCCGCTTTCTGTCACCGCGTGGGCCGCTCCACGTCGAGCCACCTCCGCTCTCGGAGGCCCCCAGAAGCCCCCGGCCCCACCTGTCACATCGATGCTTCGCTCCGTGGGTTGCGGTCCGTGGGTCCCGTGGCTCGCAGCGGGCCCCAGCCCCTGAAGGGCGCCCAGCCTGGACCGCTGGCGCCGCCGCCGCGCCGAGGCGGCGCGAGCCTCTGCCGCAGCAGGACGGGCGGGTGGGGCGCGCCCCGCGGCCCTTCTAGGCGCGACTTCGACGGCTGGCCCCCCTGCAAGCCTGCCGCAGCAGGACAGGCGGGTGGGGCGCGCCTTCTCTGCCCCCGCGCGCGCGGCGGCGCAAGCTCCCATGGGCAGACTTGAATTACAGGCGATCCAAAGGCCTACCATAGGCCTATGGATAGCCTGTCCACAGGCCTATGGTAGGCCTGTGGATAGCCTGTCCATAGGCCTCTTGGGGCCCAGCACAGGCTATGCATAGGTCATCGTCGGGATTGTTCATTGCGCGACTGGGCGCGCGGCGGGAGCGGAGAGGGGAGAGCAGAGCCAAAGGTTTTCTCCTCATTTGTACCAGCAGTGAGATGGCCCAGCAATGGCACAGCTGTGGCCTGCAGCAGACCGAGAAACGGGGGGTGTAGTCGCGTGGACGCCATCACGAGGTGCTGCCCATGAACCAGGGCTGGCCCGAGGCACGAGCTGCCTACAATGCTCGGGCAGGCGCCTTCGAGAACGACCCTCTCTGCCCGATCGTCGACGGAGACACTCCGACGGCAACGCATGGGAGCCTCCCGTACCATCTGGCTGGCTCCCGCGAACCGACGCGAACAGACGCTAGTCCACGCCAAATCGACGCCAACTGGAGCTAACTCTGCGCTTTCTCATCGACTGCCAGACGCCAGCGCATGCTAGCGCACTGCAGAGACGGAGCTGCGAGGGCACATGAGGCTCCCAGGAGTTGCTGCCGAACAACGCTCTCTCCGCTGGGCAACGGGGAGGGGGGGGGGCCCACGGGAGGAGGTGAGCGGGAGCCCGGGGCGGGGGGAGGCGGGGCAGGGTCAGCAGGAGCCGGGGGGAGCGTCGGAGAGGGGGCGGCAGGCGGCATGCGACAGGGGAGCGGAGCGGGAGCAGGTTGACAGGGAGGAGGGAGAGGCAGGCCGGCAGGGGAGGGGGCAGGGGAGAGCGGGAGGCAGGGGGGTGGGGGTGGGCAAGATCAGTCAGCATCGAACCAGGAAATCGGATCGAATCGGGACGTGCTTCGGATCGGGCTGCATCGGCGCGGAATCTGCCGACCCCTTGTGGGTCCCTAGGCGTGTGAGATTCTCCCCCCCCCCCCATAACCCCCCCCATGGACACCAAACTGGAAATTCGACCCTCCCCCCCCCCCCCCGCGGGCCCGGCCCGAACGCGCCATGGGGAAGAAAAGGGTCCCACAACGGGCCAAGAAGGTCCGAGAGGACCCCCAGACAGTCCAAGAGGGCCACGAGTCGCCGAAAGATCGCTCCAAGACGCCCGAGATAGCCTTTAGACGGCGCCGGAGGCAACCAAGACGCTCCAAGAGGCCCCCAAGATGCGTCCCAACAGGGCCCCAAGAATCAAACATCGTCCAATTCCCTTCGGAAAATGCGCATTTGTTTTTCATAATCACCTCTTTGCCTTTCATACTGTCCAAGACGGCTCAAGAAGCCTTCAATATCGCTCCCAGCCGGCCCAAGGGGCTCCCAAGAGGGTTCCAAGAACATCCCAAGAGGCTTGAGGCTTGAAGCTGCGCCTGTGTCGTCCCAGGGGGGACGGCCCTACGCGGGGCTAGGCGGTGGCGCCGGCATCACTCGAACGTCTCATAGTCGGATATATGACAATTGGGGCTGGGGTCGGAGAGAACTGGAGTCGGAAAGTTGGGAGCCGGAGTCGGAGAGACATGCGCCGGAGTCGGAACGTCGGAAGCCGGACACGGAAGATGGGAGCTATGGAGTCGGAGAAAATGGAGCTGGAGTCAGAAGATGGGAGCAGGAGTCGGAAAATTGGTGGGAGCTGGAGTCGGGGAGATGGGAGCCAGTGTCGAAGAGATGGACGCCGGAATCGGAAATTTGGGAGCCGGAGTCGGAATTTGGGAGCATCCCAAGATGGCCCAAGAAGCCCCCAAGACAGCCCAAGAGGGCCCCAGGACGGCCCCAAGAGGGGACCCAGAGGGATACTTTTCGAGCTCTCGGTCCCAAGCCGCCCCCAGGTTACCCTAAGGGCTAAATAATCTCCAAGAGGCCCCCAGAGGCTCCCAGGGAGCTCCGAGAAGGCCCGAAAAGGCACTCAAGAGGCCCTCAAGAGGCCTCACAACTGCCTCCCAACCCGCCCAGGAAAGGCTCCCCACGAGACCTCATCAGCCATCCGATTGTCTTCCGATCGAGGTCGGGGCGTCGGCCCACGCGCACCGGGGGGAGAGGCTGCTGCTGCGGGCGCTGCGAGCGCGGGCGGATCCTTCGCCGCACTCCTCCTCCTCCTCCTCCTCCTCCTCCTCCTCCTCCTCCTCCT